ATACCGATAGAGCGATATACAGAGGAGCAGCAGCGCACCGTAGAGATGATTCTGGAGATGTTCAATGAAGATATCGATCGTCACAGCATCCTGATATTCTCACACGCCGACAGACTCAGAGGAGTATCCATTGGAGAGTTTATTTTGAAACAAAATCGAAAAGTTCGAGACCTCGTGAAGAGATTTGGGAGGCGTTTCATGGCCTTTGACAACACAAACCCTACAAACCGAGAACAAGTGAGTCGACTCCTGCAGAAAGTGGATAAACTGCTGGCTGGGAATAAGAACCGTCACTTCACTAATGAAGTCACAGAGGCCATGCAGAAAGCCCAGAAGATAATAGAAGAGAGAATGCAAGCAGAAACGGCTGAAAGAACGAGGAAAATAAAGCAGGAGGTCAAGAAAATGGCTGATGCTCGTTGGCGTGCGTTCATTTCTGACGTCAATGAAGAGAAGCAAGAAACTGAACGAAGAAGGAAACACATTCAAGCCAGGATTGATCGGATTAACACGGACATATTGAAAGAAGATCAGAACGTGGAGCCGATCCCAGAAAGACTGAGACGGTTCACAGAGTCTCTGCAGACGGAGCTGGAGAACATGAGACGGCTGGAGGAAAGACAGATGGAGGAGGAGAGAGAGAGAAAGAAGAGAGAAGAGAAAGAACAGAAGGACCTGGACATCTGGATCCAAGAAGAGGAGCAGAGGAGGCTGAGCGAAGGAGGACCGAAGAATCTACTTTCTCCAGATCATATTAAAATGCTGACTTTGCTTTCCATGTTTTTGCTGGGCGTCGGGGCGTCATTTGCACCCGTTCTCTTACCGTTCCTGTTCCCTGCAGCTCCGGTGGTGGAAGCCGGGTTGGCGGCGTCGATTTTGTCCAAATTGTTAGCTGCAGAAGGATGGGGTTTCGTTTGGGTGGTTGCTGGAGTCACCAAAGCCGCAGTGTTGACCCGCTGCTCCATCCAGTGACCCGTCCATCATTTATATAGCACCATTAACAACAGCAGCAGCTGACCAATGTGCTTTACCACAGCAGATAAAACTGATTTTAAAAAATCACAGCTAAAAACAAATTATATCAGCATTATATCAGCAAAATGAAGTTTACTGTGTGAGAAAAATTCAAGTTTACAGAGTTTTAGTATCAGTGCTACATTAAACTACTATATATAGGCCCGGTTTCACAGACAGGGCTTAGACTAAGCCAGGATTAGGCCATAGTTCAATTAGGACATGTAAGTAATTTTTATTAAAGGGGTCCTATTATGCTCTTTTACAAAGTCTTGATTTTGTTTTGGGGGTGTACTAGAACATGCTCTCATGCTTGGCTGTTCGAAAAACGCATTATTTTTCACATAATTTACATTATTAAAATACCTTTCTCCCCAGGCTGGCACAAACGACTCGATTAGTTCCGGCTTTGATGAAGCTCCGCCTTCCGAAAATCAAAATGTGTTGTGATTGGTTAGCTGTCCCGGTGCATTGTGATTGGCGAACAGCTTAGACGGTGTTTCAGTACTGCCCCGCCCCTTGCTCCGTCTTTCAACAAAAGCTTTTGGGCGAATCCGGCACTGTACTCCCTCATGTTGTGGAAGCTGTCCTCAGTAAAATGCACAGCACACAATAGCAAATTGGGGTAATAATGCTCAGGAACAGAGTTATAAAGTAAATTGCAACCACTGTTTCCTGACATCATCCGCTTTCGGAAGCCCAAACACAGACGTTTGGGCACGGAGGTGAAAAAAACTGTGTTTCAGGCGGTCCTGCACCGGACGAGAAGCGCAGCGTTGCGCCACGGCTTTAAAATTCAAATACATTATTTTCTATGAGTGTAGCACACCGGCGGCACCGTTCGGCATCTGTCCGCGGCACACAGCTACGTCATGTTATACTTGTAAGAAATGTTCTAGACATGCCAGAAATGTGATGCTACAGCACAGCAGCTCTTCTTCTTGGTTTTCTCTGATGCACTAACTCTGCAGCAGCTCTTCTTCTTCGTCGTCTCATCTGATGCACTCACTCAACCAAGCGCTCTAACCTCGCCCTCCCCACCCCCCAACCATTCACATTTCTGTAGGCGGGAATTATGTGTAATGATATTCTAATGAGCCGCTTTGTGATATCATAAAGCCCGGAAAACAAACACTGTAGTCCAAACGAGCCGTTTGCTGTAGTTCTTGAAAATGGATTTTTAAAAAACGAAATATCTCCCTTTGGAGTGGACTTTGAGATTTGTAACTTTCTAGATCTTTTTTATGCCCAAACATACACACTACACACTGACTAAAACTAAAAAAGTGAAAAAGCATAATAGGACCCCTTTAACATGCCTTAGAAAAAACAAAACTGGTGTGCATCTTGCCACAAAACAAAGGCACTGATATATTTTTAAACATCAGTCAGTGCAAGTTTCTTTCAGTTGAAACAGCTCAGACTTACACTTTAGTCTAGACTTAAGTAGGGCTGGGCGATAATTCGATAACGATAATTATCACGATATAATTTTCCTCGATAAAACGATATGAAGAGTTCGGTAAATGTTTGATATAATGTTATTATTTTTTTTGTTAAATAAACAAACTCACTGGTAAATAAAACACACCTTAGTATCGATATTTTTTGTTTGAGTATCGATACTTTTCGATACTCGCGTCAGTATCGATATATCGAATATAGCGAAACAGCGCTGTGAGATCCAGTGTGAAGCCCTTGAACTCAGCGAGGAACACAAATGACTCGGTGATTTAAACTAGTTTGAAGCCAAACAGGAGAAACACTGTGTGAGAAACCATATTTTTACCATGGTATTGGGGTGCTATATGTGTGGTTTTAGCTGTGTTTATCATGATTTAAATGTATGTTACTATGGGAGACCAATGCTTAATTTAAACAAAATTACAAAAAAAAATATCCTTGGTCAGAATAAATGTAACCATATTAAACTGAGGTTGCTACAATTTTTACAGATGTTACTGATTTTGATAATGCACAAAAATGTAGCTCTGTATCCTAACTCAAGCTACTATCAAATGTGCATTTCTAAGAGACAAAAAAAAGTGATATTATTATTATTAATATTATCAGGCAACCCAAAGCTGTTTCTTGATTTGCAGCAGTGTCACTCATTAGAACATGCAGAAACTAAGAAATTAATTTTTCTATTTATATTTATTTTTTTTTGTTAAAGAAAATGAATGGTCTGGTTTCTACAACTTTCACTTTGGAGCAAAAATCTAGCTTTAAACTGGAAAGAAATAAAGATTTGACATTCATCGTGATAATTATCGATATCGACTGATGTGAAAAAAATTATCGGGATCATTTTTTTTGGCCATATCGCCCAGTCCTTATGTGCGAAACCGGGGGATAATGTATAATAATGCAGTGGGGGAATATTTGTGGGTCCTGGTAATGCAAAACGTCTCATGTTAGGAGTAAAAAGTGGCCTACATTATTTTAAATATATCTAGTCAGTGACAGAGTGCAAGCATATTCGTCTCAAATAATAACTCTTCAGAATCATGAATATTACCAGAACCAAGTCCAAGCCTATTAATTCCCACCACCCCCGATGTAGTACCAAATTTAGCATTTTAATCAGCAGTAGATTTTCTGTTAACCTTGGAGTATCGCAGTAATATTGTATTGTGAGTTCAGTATCGTGATATGTATCGAATCGTGACATGAGTGTATCGTTACACTGTTAGTTTATAGTGATTGTATCCACCTGTATTCCTCTAAATAAAGTCAAGGCATGTGTATCGTGTCTCTGTATTGTGCAATGTGGCATATTAGCCATAATCCATGGATTAATACACAGTTAAAACCTTATGGAATTAATTTTTAAAAATACACTTTGGTTGCCAGGTTTTTACTTTTTTACTTTTTTTTACCCAAATTGATTAGTTAAGCTTGTTGGTGATATATGAATTTTGACCTCAAACTCAAAAGCAAAAAGGAAATGTGGTTTATAAATGACAATGCAGTGTTCAAAGGCATTTATCATATGTGTAAGAGCAGACAATGCACTGTAAAATACATTTTTTAGATTGTGTCTCAAAGGAAAGCATTGCTTGTGTTTGTTGCAAAAAGAAAATTAGAGCTGAATAAAACAATGCATGTGACTTTATAAAAATTAAAAGTGAGTGGTTATTAATGTAACGATTTCAAGTACTTGATTAAAGTAATGTAACTGATTACATTTGATTCTAAAGTTGATTCTAAATTCCAAAAGAACGTTTTCAACTGATGATCATCTTGAAACATTTAAAGCAGTATTACTATCAGACTTCCCTCATCACTTAAATTAAGATTATAATGATTTAATTTTAAAGCGCAGCCGCCACAGAATCAGACTTTAGCAGCTCTTTTTACTTTAATATCGTTCTGAGGTTAGATACTGATTTAAAAACATAAGAAATAGTTTAATAACTGTGTTTTAAATCAAATATTTGCATAGCTATGACAGCAAACACTGGCGTCTAACCATGCCTTGGAAAAAAAACACAGTTAATCTTAAAAAATAAACGCTTATGCACATAAACCCATATAGAAGATAATAAAGCAGGTATCAAATAAGCATGTGTGCTATTCTTTTAGAGCAGGCAATGCAATTTAGGAAATAAATCAATCAAATCTATATGTTTGTGAAAATATTCATCCTTTGCGATCAGTAACATAAGTAACTGTAATTTAATTACACATGACTGTTATGTAACAGATTACAGTTACATTTATTTTGTTACATGTAACTAGCGACACACGCGTGCTGTAATAGCAAAGCGCCGCCGGCGGGTGTCGCTGTGGAGCCGCGGCAGCAGCGAGTCTCACGCGCCGAAAGAGGGAGCCGGAAGCGGAAGAAAACAAGAACTCTGCCTCAGCTTGATCTGTAAACGAGGAAGATGGAAGATTTAATATCAATAAACTGCGTTAAACTTCTAATCAGCGCTTTATTCTACACATGTGAGTATAAACATGAGTGTTTAGTGTTGAGTTGGGGGTTTGTGCGCTCACGAGATGATGAATGTTGTTTTTTCGCTCAGGCCTGGAATGAATATATATATATAACTGTGTGTTATTAATTAATTCACATTGATTTTTCATCATAATAATAGTCGCATGATCTTAATCTACTGTAGAATTAGTTTAAAGTTCCCTGGAGAAGCATGTAAATACCGTGATCGTGGATTATAGGTATTACCGTCGCTGTACCATGCTTTTACATATTAAATACCTCATAATGTCATCATATTTAATGTGATCGGAAAGTTATTTTGAAAAAAGATCAATTATATTTGCTCTGTCGCTTCAGGAAAGCCTAGCTTTGAAAGATGCTGACTGATGCTTTATCTGAGAGATAAAATCCTAAGAATTAAATTATAACGCATTATTGTGATTTAAATGTTTTTATTAGTCTATTTCAGAAAGCCAAAATGGTTCAGTTCAGTCTGAATCGTTCTCGTTGAAAAAATGGAATGAAAATGAAAATTAACATTTTAAAGCCGTATTTCATATATGTTAGTGAGAGCAATGGATTGTAAGTTAAATTTTTTTATTTATGTTTTACAAGATGTACTATAAGTCTGAGGTGTCCCCAGAATGCGTCTGTGAAGTTTCAGCTCTAAATACTCCACAGATCATGTATCATATCATTTTGAAAATGCCTATTTTGAGTGGAAGCAGAAACACGCTGTTTTTTGTGCCTGTCTCTTTAAATGCTAATGAGCTGCTGCTCCCCGCCCCCTTTTCCAGAATAGAGCTGCGCCATTACAGCTCGGACCTGCTAAAAACATCTGTTTTTGTTCTGATTATCATGTTTATCGCGCTGAAATCATGGGTTTTAAACTATATGAGTTTAAACTTCTGATATAGGGTTTTCTGAGCGCACACATCTGAAGCACACGCACAGAAAGCGGCTGTCGCAGCATGCGAGTACTAAACTAAGCTCTCATTCACACACAAGCTTACGTTAAACACACACGAGTTACAAAAAACAGTGGGTTATGTCTGTGAAGGTAAACAATGGTTTATAGATTTCAGTCTATATGCAAATAGGCGAAATAGTGGCTATTGATATTTTTATATTTTTATACCATCATATGTCACCAAATATTTAGGTTGTGGCTGTCTGAACTTACTGGAATTATTTATTTATTTATTTTTACTGAAGTAGCATAAAAATACACAAATATAATATAAAAATATGCATATTTTACATTTAAAAATTTTTACTTTTGGAGGTAAATTAATTTTAAAAATGCATAAATTGATATATATATATATTTGAATCAAAGATAGTGATATGACATTTGTTTAAAAAAAAAAATTGGGGGTCACACCTGAAACCTTCATGCCCAAATTTGTCCACGAAGGACCAATCGAGGGCTGCTATACGAAGGATGCTCGTGTTTTAATGTTTTTGTTTGTTTTTTAATGTTATAAACCCCAAGAACTATTCTAAGTATTTTTTATAATTTCTTACATTTTAGAAAGTCAAAATAGTTCAGTTTAGTTTGAATCGGTGTGAAATGCACAACACATTTTAGTGCAAAAAGAGATCAGCGAGCAGGAGTATGTATGTAGTGTGCATTATCCGAGTAATCATGGTTAGCAGTAGTATGTCACGTGTGATGTGTGTGTCTGCTGCTGCAGGCGTCTTGTCCAGCTCAGTGGAACAGAAGATCTATGTTGAACTCAATGAAACGGTTCCGTGTGTCCGACTTCTGAACGCCACGCATCAGATCGGCTGCCAGTGTGAGTCATTCATTTACCTGCGGTGCATTTCAAACTCTGTGTTAGGATCGCTGTGATGTACGGCCTGATTGTTTTATTCGTCTCTCAGCGTCTATATCAGGAGATACAGGAGTCCTCCATGTGCTGGAGACCGAATCAGACCTGGACTGGATCCTCAGCTCAGGACCGCATCCTCCGTACATGGTGATCATGGAGACGGCCTTCTTCAACAGGTGCTGTGACGTCCGTCTGTCTGTCTGTCTGTCTGTCTGTCTGTCTGTCTGTCTCTGTGTGTCTGAGCTCATGTGTTCCTCCTGCAGGTCGGTCATGATGAGGATGAAGAACTCGTCCAGAGTGGCTGGAGTTGCTGTGATCGTCTCAAAAACAGGCCTTGCTGATAATTTCTCACCTCACACGACCTGCCCCAACCAGAACACAGGTGTGTGTGACTGTGTGTGTGTGTGAAACACAGGTGTGTGTGACTGTGACTGTGTGTGTGACTGTGAGTGTGTGTGCGCGTGTGACTGTGTGTGCGTGTGACTGAGAGCGTGTGACTGTGAGCGTGTGACTGTGAGCGTGTGACTGAGAGAGCGTGTGACTGAGAGCGTGTGACTGAGAGAGCGTGTGACTGAGCGCGTGTGACTGAGAGAGCGTGTGACTGAGCGCGTGTGACTGAGAGAGCGTGTGACTGAGAGAGCGTGTGACTGTGAGAGCGTGTGACTGTGAGCGTGTGACTGTGAGCGCGTGTGACTGTGAGAGCCTGTGACTGAGAGCGTGTGACTGTGACTGTGAGCGTGTGACTGTGAGCGCGTGTGACTGTGAGAGCGTGTGACTGAGAGCGTGTGACTGAGAGCGTGTGACTGAGAGCGTGTGACTGAGAGCGTGTGACTGAGAGCGTGTGACTGAGAGCGTGTGACTGAGAGCGTGTGACTGAGAGCGTGTGACTGAGAGCGTGTGACTGAGAGCGTGTGACTGAGAGCGTGTGACTGAGAGCGTGTGACTGAGAGCGTGTGACTGAGAGCGTGTGACTGAGAGCGTGTGACTGAGAGCGTGTGACTGAGAGCGTGTGACTGTGAGAGCGTGTGACTGTGAGCGTGTGACTGTGAGCGCGTGTGACTGTGAGAGCCTGTGACTGAGAGCGTGTGACTGTGACTGTGAGCGTGTGACTGTGAGAGCCTGTGACTGTGAGAGCCTGTGACTGTGAGAGCGTGTGACTGTGAGAGCATTACTGTGAGAGTATGTGACTGTGACTGTGACTGTGAGAGCGTGTGACTGAGAGCGTGTGACTGTGAGGGTGTGACTG